ATTGTTTGGTATGTATACTGGCCTGGGACACTTATGCTGGTTGGTACGACATTTGGTCGTGGACTGCTACAGTTGCTATGGTTCTATGGTACTGTGTGGTACAATCAACTGCGGGTTGGGACTCTCGGTCACTGGTATGGCTTGCGGGAGTTGAAAATGTTAATTCTGGGATAAACGCTGATTCAAGGATGGTTCATCGGGGACTATGTTTTAAATCCATGGTACAACACTCGATCGATTCCTGGCCCTAGGTACAATTCGGCCACCTGGAGATTGCGACGTTGTGTGGGCCTGGTACCGGGTACGGGCAGGGTCAGTCCTCAGCTACGGACAGGTACTGGCAAAAAGGGGCCGGTGCTTTTAACCTGGCCCAATGCCGCAGCCCAGAGGCAATATAGGAAGACCAGCAGAAAGAAGGGGAATTTTGCGTGCCCGGCGTATGCACCGCACGTGCACTTCGGTCAGGGTTGAAATGTCCCAGTTCGTGGATGTGAGCAAAGGGAGTTTGGTGTGCCTAGCATCTGCAGCGAGCGTATGTGACTCCGGAAAGGGACAGGTACTGGTGGTCCGAAGGCGTGGACATGGCGAGGGAAGGACGAACCACTAAAAGGGGAGGCATTCGGATTGTGGGAGGACTGGAATATGTACATGGTGTACACAACGTCTGAGCATCGCGGGCATAGCGTGCGTGAACGTGTTCGTGAATGCAGCGACCTGAAGAAAGCTGATGAACTTGCGAGCAGAGGGGGGGGCAGAACGGGACTCAATGTGTTTGGGGGGAGAGAAGTTCTTCATGGCGTGCCCGGCGTCCACAGACAGAGATATGGTGGGAGACATAGCGGCCCTATTCTAGCCCCATAATCATTCTCACGGGCTTATTGATGGGTGCTCGAACGCTGCTTCAGCCACAGCAAGCCAAGAAAATAGGTGTGAATCTCTGAGGTCCCTTAATGGTCAACGGATCTTCACTGAATTAATGGTGAGTATGTGAATTCCCGCCGTTTGAACCACTCCCAATCAATGACATAGTCGTGCACCCTTCCATGCTCTAGCAACAGATTCATTCCGAACCCTTATTGATGAGTACTTGGCTGTTGCCTCAGATCACAGCTAATGAAGGACACGGCCATATAAGGGCTTCTTTCTCGCAGCCATGTTGACGGGAAAAATGGTTTTTCTTACCACTGAGCAAACAAGGACTATAGTGATGTGTCATTCGATCTTCTGGCTGAAGATCCATTCATCGCAGACAAGGATCGGACCTGAGCGCGTCTTCGAGCGCGTGTTTCCTATGAGAAGAGCCCTATGTGCGTAGAGTTAGAGAGGGAGAGAAGAGGGGAGAGCTGAGCGAACGGGTATGTTATTATTATTATTATTATCGGAGCTGGTACCCGCTACTCCACGCACCATCGCCGCCGTTGTAGCAGGAGGGAGACGCGTCGACGCCGTTGTAGCTGAGTGAACGGGTATGCGTTTATTATTATTATTATTATTATTATTATTATTATTATTATTATTATTGCAATCAGACTCGCATACTTCGTCACTTCACATGCATACAAACAGATGGTGATTCACACTGGCGCATTGCGCCCAACTCAAAGCTCGAAGATATGGAAACCAAGACACAGTTCAGATGTAAGCTCGCTTCAACAGACTATGGTGCATCCGCACCCACACATCGCAACTCTTGTCACTGTGTCCAACAACACTGTTCGCTTCACACTTCAACTCCGGATCACCCTGGATACCCCACACACACACTCTGCACACACACGAATACACACCTATCACTAACCTACGGCAGCTATGGCCGCCAGCTAACACTAATCTACAAGCAGCTATGGCTGCACTAACTCCCTTCAGCCCACTTTGACTTCAGGCTCCTCTGCGGACCACCTCGCACAAGTCACCGTGAGAGCGCCTCCGCATGGCTTCCGCAGGACACACAGTCACCGTGGCTGTGCGCTGCCTCTTGATTTATACTCCTGTAACTCGTTGGTCTGCCCCCTTTCCATCGGCCCCTGGTACACACAGTCCCCCATGGTACTTGCTGGACTGGACTGGGACTGACCGGACCGCACTGTGGACTGCCTGGGGACCTACTGCTAACCTACCGCCATCATACTACGAACGTACTGCAGTTGGTCCACCACTTGCCCACTTGCCCACTTGCCCACTTGCCTCAATCTAAAACGTGAGCAAGCTGCGAAAGGCCACTTCCGGACCTTCCGGAAGTCTGTGGACTTGGCCTTTTGGGGATTGTAGCAGCTATGACTTTGACCCTTCCGAACATCTACAGCTACGACTTCTGGAACTCTCTAAGACCTCTACTCGACAGGTCTACAGATCGAATCCCTATGTTCACACAGTCCTACGACAGACAAACAACAGCTCACGAAACACAGGTCACGGGTTCAAACACTCAGAGGGCAACTCGATACTGTACATGGGTGAGGTAAGGTCTGGGGATCAAACCCCGGGATCTGCATCTGCCTCTGCAAAGGTGAAAACCGTTTCACTCCCGCCGGCCTAAATCCGAGGTCCTCCGAGAATATCTCAGTCCAAGGCAGGACCTTTACCTTTTCTATCTCTTTCGTAGGCCCTGACGATGTCGGGAGCTGTTTCTAGAAGTTCAGTTCTAGTAAACCAGCAGTCGTCTTCCGGTTCCTGATATGCGAATCGAACCTTGTACTGTTTCTGAGGACGACCTCTACCTCCTGTCCTGAATGTATCCTCACCTACAATGCCGTCAATGTCATATCTTCCCTCCATATCTGGAGGGATCATGGACCTTCTAGAGGGAACTGTTGACTTATGAGACATGGCAATAACTTTGATGCGTGAAATACGAGGTAGGTGTGGAGGTGCGCTGGAATCTCAATAGTGTAGGATGGTCCATCCTCGCCGCCCTTGACTTCTAGGACTGGCCACGGTCCTCTATACGCAGGCAGCAACTTCTGTGAAATGTTCTCCTCAGGAGCAAACTCTTTTGACTGGACCCAGACTAAGTCGCCTACTTGAAACTGCGACGGGCGACGATGCTTGTTGGCTTGTTCTATCATCCTATGTTGGGCCTTCCTGAGGTTCTCTACAACGGTAGCTAATTCTTTCTCGTGCTGTAACGCAAACTCCCTAGTACCGGGCAGCAGCCTATGAATCTGATCCCGGTTAAGTCCCTCGAACGTCTACGTGGTCTTAAGGACTTGTGTAACTCGTTGGGAGTGCGACACGTGGATAGGTGCAAGCTGTTATTGTAGGCACTGGCTACCTTTGGGAGCATCTCATCCCAGTTGGTCTGATCAGGTCTAATATACATTCTCAGAACTTGCTATAGGAGCTTATTCATTTGCTCAGTCTGATCGTTAGTCTCTGGATGATGGCCAGATGACATCAGCAGCTTGGAGCCATATACTCTCATGAACTCCTGCCAGTTCTGACTAGTGAACCGGGTGTCTCTATCGCTAACTATAGACAGCGGAATCCCGTGTTCACTAACCCAATGGTCAAAGAACTTCTGAACTACTAACTTTGTACGTGCCTCCGCAGGCAACGGAACAAAAACTGCATACTTGCTAAATCTGTCTACTATGACCATGACTTGGCTCTTACTATGCCTACTCTTGACGCCGGTGTCCATGAAATCAATGGACACTGAATCTCCGGGTTGGTCAGGAATAGGCAGGGGTCTGAGAAGACCTAGAGGGGCACGCGTGGTGGTCTTGTTCCTCTAGCATACTTTACAACTGCGGACATATTCTATGCAGTCATTCTTCATCCCTGGCCAAGTGTATGCGCGCATCAGATTGGCTAGAGTCTTCTGCCAACCGAAGTGTCCCTCTGTATCGTGACATTCCCCTAAGATCAGGCTACAAATCTCTTCACTGTTGGGGACGCACAAGCGGTCTACTACATCAGTCTTCTCAAACAACAACCCTTCTGTAGTGCGGTAATGTGGTTCAGTCTCTGGGGCCTCCTTTACTCTCTTAAGGAGGTCGCTATAGATAGGATCATGAGCATATGCCTCTCTGATTTTCTGTTGCAGGTCCTTCCCTATATCCAAATAATGGACTATCGCCCCAAAGTAGTCTGATCTCCTACTTAGAGCATCCGCAACTACATTATACTTGCTTTTAACTGGCTTGAGCTCAAAGTCGTACTGGTCTATCTCTGCAGCCCACCTAGTCAGCTTAGGTGTCATCTTGGCTTGAGTCTTCAACCACCTTAACGTTTCGTGGTTTGAATAGACTTTGAAGTGCCTCCCAAGCAAGTAGTGCTTCCAGTATTCTAATGCTTGCCTGAGAGCGTAGAGTTCTCTCTCGTAAGTCGAGGTGGCTACCTTCTCTGAGGGCATCCTCGCTGACGTGAACTCTACGGGTCTATATCCATTACCATCGTCTTGCTGTAGTACAACACCTATGCAATACTGGCTCGCGTCAGTGGTAACAACGAAAGGTAAGGAAGGATCGGCGACCTTAAGGATTGGATACTCTATCAACGCCTGCTTCAACTTCTTCATGGCAGACGTGCAGTCCTTGTCCCACTTCCACATTGTTTCTTTTCTTAGCAATTTGCGAAGGGGTGCAGCGATGGTAGAAAAGTTTCTCACAAACTTCCTGTAGTAGTTCGTTAGGCCTAAGAACGATCGCAACTCTGTCAGCGTGCGGGGTGTAGGCCAATCCCTAATCGCTGCAATCTTGCTATCCTCTGGGTTAATGCCGTCTCCGTCTAAGACGTGGCCTAAGTACAAAACCTGGGTTTTTGCCCACTCTCACTTCTTGGGGTTGATCTTGAAGTTAGCCTCTCTCAGCTTCTCCAAGACCTGCCTCAGATGACCCTGGTGCTCTTGGAGGGTCTTACTAAAAACTAGAATATCATATAGATATACTACTACAAATCTATCTAACCACGGCCTAAACAGGTCATTCATACAACGCTGAAAAGTCGCTGGCGCATCGGTTAGTCCAAAGGGCATGACTATAAACTCATAGTGCCCATACCTAGTCCGGAATGCAGTCTTGTACTGATCATCAGGATGGACCTCTATCTGATGATATCTTAACTTCAAATCTATCTTCGAAAAGTACTTGCAACCCTGCAACCGGTCTAAACGATCATCTATGCGGGGCAGCGGCTCAGCATTCTTTACCGTAATAGCATTGAGACCCCTATAGTCTATACACATTCTGAGCTCTCCCTCCTTCTTGGGGACAAATAGAACAGGKGCTCCAAAGGGAGACGAACTGGGCCTAATCCAACCCTTCTCTAGGAGCTCGTCTAATTGCTTGCGTAGCTCCTCCAACTCCCGTGGAGACATTCTATACACCGCTCCTTTGGGAGTTCTGTTGCCAGGCTCAATCCCAATGCGATGCTGGATGGGCCGCGGTACTACTCCTGTTGGCGGCTCAGATAAATCCTTAAACTCTTCCAACAGCTTGGCAATAGCTGGGTCAATGGGCTTCTCCTCCTTAGGCTCAGTGACAGGCCTGACGTAAACTACGAAGACCTGTTCCTCTAATTTCTCCTTCTTTACCAATCGGGCAAACGCAAGAGCACTGAGACAGCAATGTGCCAGGGTGTTGTCTACACCTGAGGCATGGAACAGACGGGCAGTCTTGACCTCGCCTGTCGGACTAGGGAGCCTACACTCATGCTCTCTCAGGTGGAGTGTGGCCCCTACTGCCTCTCCCCAGTCCATACCTAGGACTATATCAAAAGGAAAGTCATCTTGTACGAGGAGAGTCAGGGAATGGAGAACCTTCTCCACTTTCCCATCTTTCTCTAGGTAGTCCTCAACACGCATAGGGTGGTTGTCTGCGAGGACACTTACTATGGGGTCTTCTAACTCTTGGACTTTTAGCCCCAGCCTCAACTTCTTTAACGCCCTACGGCTAATATAACTACGGGTAGCCCCTGAATCTATAAGGGCTCCTACTTTGCTTCTAAAAACTTCTACATCTACTAAAACTAGCTGCCCTTTACTCTCCTTTTTCATCTTGGCCCAGGTGGGCATTCTCTCCTTCAACTCGTCAGCCACGCCTGTGAGGGAGGTGCCTAAAGATACTCTAACACAAGCAGTCTCTGGACAACTATCTAGGCACCGACCTGCAACCTCTGCCATAGGCTCATGTGGTGTGGGAGTGTCTTGTCGGCTCGCGCTCGTTTCCCCACATGGCCTTATGGTAGGGGCAGTTGCAACCACTACCGGCGGCTGCCTTTTGCCTGTTGGGCAGCCCATCGGGCCTCTCTATACTTTGAACAATATCGAATAATGTGGCCAGGGTCACCGCAAAATACGCACTGCCCTTGATCCACACGCTACTGCCAGACGCGCTGGTCCAGGCCCAAATCCTCCCAAGGTCGGCCCTGTGGCATACCTGGGTGCCAACCACCTCTCCTATAGGGTGACCTATTACCCCTATTAGGTGAACGGTTACCAGAACGGGTTTTGCGGGGGACCTTGACCCCTTCCTCCCGCTTGGCGGTTTCCTCCTTTATCGCCAACCCCCTCATCGCCCTGGGAACGGCCACCTGAGGCCCGACCCCCTTGGCCCTGACCTCCTCCCCTTCCCTGCGGCCTCACTCCGGACGCGACAGCAGCGTAAGTCCTCCCCTGACTAACACTACTGTCCTCCTCCTCTAGCCCCCACTCAATCTGCTCGTAGGGGACTTCTTCCACACTACCCTCATCTAACGTAAGGAGCAGACGATCCTTAGTCTTGATCTGCCCAGAGATAGTGCGGCCTTTCCACTTTTTCCCTTTGTCAAGGTCCTTGTGCCGGAAAGTGGAAACTGACATGGACCGCGCTTCAAAAGCTACCACTTCCCTGCTGAGTGCATCATAGGTCATGGTAGGTTGCTGGCTCTTCTCGAAGAAGTGCCCGCGTAACGATTCGGGCATAGCCCGATAGAAAAGGTTGACCAGTTGGGTCTTTGTGACCCCATGGTCAGGAACAACCACCAACTCGTCCATTACTCCTTTGAGTGCTTTGGCACTCCTCCACTGACGAGAGTGGATAGTCTGCAACTTATCGGAGACTTTGACATTACGCGAAACATCTGCGAATCGTCCGCGCAACAACTTAAGGAAATCGGTGAGGGGAGTAAACACGGAGTAAGCAACTACATCCTCGTTGCAATTCGCAGCGCGAACTAGGGAACGTGCAAAACTGGCGGCCTCCTCCTTTAGCGCGTGAATGGCAACTAGAACATGCTCATCTGGGGAGACCTTTTGCAAGTGCACGTAGGTCTTTATATTAGCCTCCCAATTTTCAAAGTTCTCCTCCTTCTTCCCACTGTAGGAATCGGGGAACTTGACTTTGACGGGCTCCCTACGCGGGCATACTTCCTCCTCCTTGGGAGCGGCTAGTTTGGTGCCCTCTATAGCACCCGTACAATAGCGCTTTGTGCTGTCTAGGTGGGCCTTCACTTCTGACCCCACCTGCACCACTAACTCTCACGCGAATTCGTTGAATCCCAATCGTATCGAACGCAGGGCAATATCCTGACTTCTAATAAACTGATATTGCTCTTCCTGAGCCGTTGTCGGGCGTTCGATATTCCTCACCATGATTTCCATCTTACCCAGGAGGTCCACCTGTACCGCCATCTGGTCTTTCTGCTTTTTTACTTCCTCCAACTCCTTTGCCGCCTGGCTCACCGCTTCCATTCTCCTTTTTCTCTCCTTCATGAGTCGTAGCTTCCACTCCATCCTCGTTTCATCCTCCATGGCCTGACACCTGAGTGGATCTTCTTCCGCCTCCCACGCCTTTACGGCCGCCTCTTGCTCTTCCCTGGGTACATACATTAACGTTTCTTCTTCTTCTCCCAGGGATAAATTTGCAACCCACTCTCTGATCTTCTTCTCCAGTTGATCATCTCTTGTTCCACTGGATTCCCCTCTTTGCTCCTTTCTTCTTGTCTCCAGTAGCTCTTCTTCTATCTCTTCCTCCTCTTCTACCGCTTTTAACTTCTCCTCTTCTTCTTTCTTCAACCTCTCTTTCTCTCTGGCCATCTCCTCAATCTTCTTCATCTTCGCCGCCTGTTCCTCCATCAGGGCCTTCTTCTGGCCTCCTTCCTCTCTTTTTTCTCTTTCAGGATGGCAGCGGCCTTTGCCTCCTCTTCGGCTGTGTAGGGGGTAGTACTCGTTCCGGTACGTGTCTCAACCATGGTGATAGGTGCACAACCAAGTGACGGTTCCACTCCTCACCACTTAGACTCTCCCCCTAACTGACTTTAACTTGAACTAACTGACTCTCTATGGACTACAAAGCCCTACCCTTCGTTCCAGCCAGATTACCACGACCGACGAAAGCTTTCGCAACCACAGTCCTTGCAATCCAGACCCAGATGCCCAGCACCTGCGGTCAAACCCACCTGGCTTTCACTCCGGTTCAGACCCTGTCAACTAGGGGCACTAGCCTAGACTCTAAACTACAGCCGTCACTACAGAACCTGTTGCTGATCAGGAGGCATTTAAGGAGATCCCCCGTAACCGAAATAGGTAGACGTTGAGTCGCAAACCGACTTGCTATCAATTCGATAACAGAAGTTGATGAAGCTCAAGATCTCTGAGACCACTCGTAGGTAACGGTGACCTGCGTCATAAAATCAAGGCAGGCATCACCCGTCGAGTTAACGGAGTTCAACTCAGTATCGTACTCCAAGCTACTTAGCAGTAGCGTCTAGTAACGATATGAAAATGACGAAAATTTCGGCAGCACTTCCTTCAGGGAAGTGTGCTCGAAGAATATTTACAAGACAAAATCTAAAAGGAAAACTCAATACTCAGGAGCTATCTGAAAATAAACTAGCTCTTTGGTTTCCATAGAAATTTCAGCAGCACTTCCTTTAGAAAGGAAGGCGTTCATAATTCCTACCAACTCCAAAGACTAAACTAATCCTAACCTAGTTGACATCTCTGAATCTTAACTAACTTTGAGTATTTAGCAGAAATTTCGGCAGCATCTCCCCTAAGGAAAAGAGGCTCTCGGAGTTTCTACTAACTCAGAGGCTAGCCAAAGTCCTACCAAAGCAATCATGCATGAAGAGACGATGTGAAAACAAAAGTAGACATCTAACTGCCTATCGCTCAAGCACAAGGCGAGCGCTAACAGACTACCCTACTAAGCAACAAAGACAAACAGAGCTTGAACAAAAGACAAGGCATTGCTAGCAAGCATGTGATGTCAACAACTCGTTCAACCAATTCAAAACAAGTTTTCATCTTTTGCTTGTCCTAATTCACAAGGACATGAGTCCTGTATCTGATTCAGTTAATTTTTAACTTTCCAAGTTGTTCTCAGTCAAACCTCATGCAATCACTGACACACTAGCCTGGACTTATTCTCACAAGGAGAAGAGTCCGACTTTTGTCAACAAGCAAAACTGATTGACTTAGCAAAGCGACCCGATCAGTCAGGAGAACCTCATCTCCATCCCCATTTCAATGTCTTAGGCAAATGAGCAAAGCGACCGGATCAGTCAGGAAGACCTCATCTCCAACCCCATTTCAATATCTTAGGCAAACGAGCAAAGCGAATGGGTCAGTCATGAGGACCTCATCTCCAACCCCATTTCAATGTCTTAGGCAAACGAACAAAGCGACTGGATCAGTCAGGAGGACCTCATCTCCAACCTCATTTCAATGTCTTAGGCAAACGAGCAGAGGTCAGTCAGGAGGACCTCATCTCCAGCCCCATTTCAATGTCTTAGGCAATCGAGCAAAGCGACCGGATCAGTCAGGGGGACCTCATTTCCAGCCCCATTTCAATGTCTTAGGCAAACGAGCAAAGGGACTGGATCAGTCAGGAGGACCTCATCTCCAGCCCCATTTCAATGTCTTAGGCAAACGAGCTAAGCGACTGGATCAGTTAGGAGGACCTCATCTCCAGCCCCATTCAATGTCTTAGGCAAACGAGCAAAGTTACTAGATCAGTCAGGAGGATCTCATCTCCAGCCTCATTTCAATGTCTTAGGCAAACGAGCAAAGGGACTGGATCGGTCAGAAGGACCTCATCTCCAGCCTATTTTAAATCATGACAAGCAGACATCGTGGATTCCTGTGTAGTGTCGTGTTCGGGTTCGGTGACCGAACCCGAACGTTCGCGACTGAACGTGAACGAGCGCCAAAACCCTCCGAACGCGAACATAAAAAACAAAAAAGAGAGGTTCTCAAAAAAATCTGAAAAAATATATATTATGCAAAATAATAATACAAACAACTTTTGCCGGGAGGTATGCTCAAATTCGTAACCAAACTCGAGTTAAAAATCAAAAACCAAAAAAGTTTTTTTTTTTTTTTTTTTTTTTTAATATGTTCGGCCGAACATGTTCGGGAGGCATTCGGCCGAACACCTGAATATGTTTGGACGTTCGGAAAAGCTCTGAACATGTTCGGTGTGCTACATAAGTGGATTCCATTTCAAGCAAGTGAAATTAAACAAGCATAGTAAGTTTCCTTTGATTCAATTAAAACCCTGAATTATAGTCAACAAAATATACAAAGAGTCAAAACTCAGTCAAACCGAATGAAGGGTAGTATAGATAGGGGTATACGGGATCCTAAGGGAGATCGCGGCGGCAGATCGCGTTGGCCTACCTCAAAGTTCTCTGCCTTCGGAGTCCCGCCAGGACTCCGGCAGAGCTTCCTCAATCGGTGGATGAACCCCCCACATGGCCTTGATCCGGTCTTGTGGGTTGCAATCACACCTGCCACCTTCCTCTCCTGAACCATAGGCTAGACTGAGAGGAAGAAGGGAAGAAAGAGTAATCTCAGTCTCTCAAGATATGAGAAGGGGTTACTTAGACTTGCATGGAGAGGGCCTTGATGCCTTCATATCCTGAGGGCCCCGCAATGTCGACCAAAAGTCGTTGATCTCAAAAGTCTGTGAGTCGCAGACGTCGCAGCAGAATGTCAGCAACAACAACATCCCCTAACCCACTATGACATTGGTAGCCCCTTGAGATCACAACTGTTGCTGCCAAAAATACGGAGCTCAGCAGTGGCATTGGGTTATAGCAGTCCAATGTCAACCAAGACACCAAAAGCCTTGACACACAGGCTGAAGATAGTTGCAGCAAGATCACAACAACCATATTGGCTGCACCGGTCGCAGCAGCACAACCTCCTATTGCTCAATCAACAATATGCCCAAACCGCGATAAGTGCAGCAGGCCAGGTGAGATGGGCGCCACCCATTCGTACGACAACAAACTGCGGCAGTGGTCAATATGGAGAAAGTCACCAATTGAAATCGCAGCCGTTGACAAGTCCCTCCCACAACTCGTATAACCGTAGTTGAAGAAATCGCCCGTGGCTGTTGCCAAATGTATCTCCGTTGACACTTTCTCACATCCCCAGCTTGGCTCTTCCCATTAAATTTAACTCTGCTGCAACAACCATCTTCTCTGCGTTTGGACACCTCATAACTACAGTCGCATCAACAGTCATACTTCCTCTTAGTCAAAGGAAAATCTTGACTCAACATTCCCTTCTGGCAGAGGTAACACAACCCCAACCACCACCAGCAACCTTTGTCTGATGAAAACAGGTAATCCCAACCAGTAGCAGCGATGCCAACAACAGAGAACTCACCAGTTCGATTGACTACATCTGACGAGTCCTGTGCGATTGTAGCATGACAGCCCGTCCGAAGAGCCAGCAGCCGAAGCTGCCCCTCCAAAACAACACCAAACTTGGGTTGCAGTTTATGCAGCAAGGGAGTGGTCACCAACCTCCTTCACCAACACCTAGGCGACCGAAAGTCGACAACATAACCATGCACCGAACTACACTCATTGACCCAAGCGGCAGCACCCGACTTGCTAAGGGACGACAGTTTCCGCCTTGAAACATCAGTAACCTGTTGAAGAACAGCAACGCCTTTCTGAACGAACGTGACTTTTAACCTTTGAAAAACAGCAACTTCTTGCAAGCGAATAACCCCCATGGTAGCAGCAGCAACTTCAAAAGTGAAAAACAACTAATGATACATTCCGACATAGCAGAAGCAACTGCTATTCAGGGCCCGGAAGTAGCAGCAGCCACAATGGAAACCTCAACAAAATAGCAACACTTCCAACATTTCTCTTTCTTGCTGCAAAGATGAGCAACTCCTCCAACACTCAGCGACGACTCTTCAAGGCAGCAACAATCTTGCTGCTTTAGGTAGCGGCAACAATTTATCAATGACCGCAGCGGCCTGGCACTGCAGCAGATCAACCTTACAACAATGACCTCCCCGCTTCACAGCTAGCATCGCCCCAACCTCTTTCAGCAGATCGGTAGCCCAGCCATAGCGTGGAGTTAGTAGCAATAGTCGCCCGTCCAAATTAGTAGCTCCCAAAAACTCGGGGACGTGCTCTAGCTTACCTTGGCTGTAGGGTACCTGCAAAACAGATGTCAAGTCATGCCAAAAAAAAAGACGAGAAAAGGGCCTCCCCTAAAGACCCTTGCCAACACCCCTCCCTCATTCACCCTCAGAGTCTTACCTTTCGGCCTTCTGAGAGTGCCCCGCTTACCCTGGTGGGCTCCTCCGCTGACCCAAACCGGCAAGCAGAGCAAAGTCAGTCCTGATTCCCAGTCATGGCGGTCCGACCATCCCCCGAGCCTTTGCTCAAAACAGCTCACGGGGAGCCGCACACCCCTTCATGAGGCCCTCACTCCGATGAGTGCAGACCCATGTCCCAAAAGCTCATTAGTCGACATCAGAGCTTCCGTCTACTCGCTTGACTTCTTGACTAACGCCCGACTTTGGGACCGGTCATAAAATACCACTTGTACTGGGGCTGGACTGCGCAGACACCATATGTGCGGGAAAATACCGTCTGCACGAGGACTGAAAAAGTATCGCCTGTACAGAGACTGATCGGCAAGGAGTCAAATCAATGGGAGTGGGGCCTAATCATACCGGCAGCGACACTCAGTCATCACTCCAATAAGGCATATGACCTCAAAACTAATCAGACCAGCAGGGCGTGCATTTCCAACCGTCATACCGGCGAGGCACGTGTTCTAGAATCATCAGAACGTCACGGCGCATACTCGAAAAACGGCTGGAAGTGCGTCATCGCAATGTACCAGCAAGTCCAAGCAGGGGCACACACTAAAACATCGAGTTCAAGCTTAGGCGCACACTAAATCATCACTTTAGGGCCTGGGCACGCACTCAAACAACAACGCCTAGCATGGTCATGCACCAGAACATCAATGTCGGGCCTAGGCACGCACTAAATCAACAACTCTAAGCATGGGCGTGCACTGAATCAGCAGCACTGATCATGGGCGCGCATTGGATCGGCAGCACCAAGCATGGGCGCACATTGAATCGGCAGGACCAAGCATGGGGGCGCATGGGCGCGCACCGAATCAGCAGCACCCAGCTCGGGCGCGCACTCAAATATCAATTCCGAGCATCGGCGCACACTCAAATAGGAATTCCGGCCATGGGCGTGCACCCAGATAGAAATACTGAGCACGGGCACTCATGGGCGCATGCTCAAATATCAACACCGAGAGTGGGCACTCACTCAACTAGTGATACCAAGCGTGGGCCCGCATGGGTGCGCCCTCAACTAGTGATACCAAGCGTGGGCGCGCATGGGTGCGCCCTCAACTAGTGATACCAAGCGTGGGCGCGCATGGGCGCGCACTCAAATGTCAATGTCGAGCATGGGCGCGTGCGGGCGTACACTCAAATAGCTCGCCCGTGCCTGGGCGCACACTGAACCACCGACACCAGGCATGGGCGCGCCCCCAAATAATCACACAAACAAAAGAGATCGGCAGTACCCCACAGCTGCAGCGTGCACAAATTTAGGATCAGAAGTATCCACAGGTAATGTGCGCGTGGGCGCTTTAACTCAGGTTAAAAAAAATGTCCTTGGATGAAGTGTGCACAAACTCAAATCATCATGCCCACGGGGCAATGTCCTCAGTGAATGCACAAACTTTGAAACCAGCAATACCTTCAACGAAGTGCGCATGGGCGCTCAGGCTCCAAAATCAGCAATATGCCCAGGGTAATGTTCACAGACGAAATGTGTATCAGCGCACTGATCAGAAAATGGAAATCTCAGCAGCAAAGTGCGCATTGGCGCACAGTGTCAAATCTGACAATGTCCACAGCAGAGAGCGCATGGGCGCTTAGATCTTAAATTGGTAATATCAACAGCAGAGTGCGCATTGGCGCACAATGTCAAATCCGACAATGTCCACAGAAGAGAGCACATGGGCGCTCAGATCCAAAATTGGTAATAATAACCGTAATATCAACAGCAGAGTGCACATTGGCGCACAGTGTCAAATCCGACATTGTGCACAGCAGAGAGCGCATGGGCGCTCAGATCCAAAATTGACAGTAGAGTGCACATTGGCGCACAGTGTCAAATCCGACAATGTCCACAGTAGAGAGCACATGGGGGCACAGGCTCAAGATCTGGAATGACCACACATGAAGTGCGCATGGGCGAACAGGCTCAAGATCTGGAATGACCACACATGAAGTGCGCATGGGCGCACAGGCTCAAGATCTGAAATGACCACACATGGAGTGCGCATGGGCGCACAGGCTCAAGATCTGAAATGACCACACATGGAGTGCGCATGGGCGCACAGACTCAAGATCTGAAATAACCACACATGGAGTGCGCATGGGCGCACAGGCTCAATATCAGAAAAAGGTCCTCAGGTGATGTGCGCATGGTTGCACGGGCTCAAGATCAGCAAGGCCCACACTTGGAGTACGCATGGGCGTACCGGCTCAGGATCGACAGTCCCACAGATAAACCGTGCGTGAGTGCACAGGTTCAGGATTAGCAATGTCCCTCAAATGAAGCGTGCGTGAGCGCACAGTTTCAGGATCAGCAATGTCCCTCACAGACAGTGCCTGTGAGCGCACAGTTTGCAGGATCAGCAAGGTCCCTGCAGTGCGTGCGAGCGCACAGTTTCCAGGATCAGCAAGGTCCCTCAGATGTGTGAGCGCGCACCAATAAATGTACCGATCAATCAGCAAATACGGGCAGATCCCGTCCAACAGTGATGCGCTCGTGGGCGCACCAATAAAGCCAATATGAAAGTGCCTATCAATCAGCCAGTGCAGGCAAATCCCAACCAATAATGATGCGCTCATGTGCACGCCAATTAAGCCAATATGACAAGACCGATCCAGATCAGAAAAATCCCAACCAACTGTGACACGCGCGTGGATGCACAATTTAAGCCAATATGAGAATACCGATCCAGATCAGCAAAATCGCGACCAACTGTGACACGCGCGTGGACGCGCCACTTATGCCAATATGAGAATACCGACCCAGATCAGCAAAATTCTGACCAACTGTGACACGCGCGTGGACGCGCCAATTAAGCCAATATGAGAATACCGATCCAGATCAGCAAAATCCGACCAACAATGATGCGCGCGCGTGTGCGCCAATTAAGCCAATATGGGAATACCGATCCAGATCAGCAACTGCGGGCGCATGGGATAGATAAGAGCGTATGGATCTGGGGTCTGAAGCAGGGCGAGAGTGAACACACTAGCTGGGGAGAGAGTGAAAGAGAGAGAGAGAGAGAGAAGGGGAGAAAGGAGGAGCCAGAGGGAGGGAAGATGAGGAAAAGAAGGTGAGTGTGAGCAAGCAGCAAAAGTGCAGCAGCTCAAAATGAGACACCCTGGCTACTACACCCGCCAGAAGCTGCCCGACCTCTCCCTTACCTCTCCCCCTTGCTTGCCTCGGTCTCGTTAAGCTTGCTCCCTCTCCTGCTCGTCCTAGTGCCTTGGCTTTGGCTCCTGCTGCTTCTTGTTGTTCACCAGCGTTTCGGTGTTTCACTCAAGCGTTGCCCCTACTCTTGGGTGACACGGCCTCTCTTTTATAGTGGAGAGGCCAGGTGATCGGGCTCAAGTGCAGCAGCCCCACGATCTGGGTCGGGGCTAACATTAGACTAGGTCTGAGCTATAATTAGCACCGGTCCCGACCTTGGGATACGAACAGTCAGTCCCATGCTAAAAAATAGCATGGGATTGTGCTAATTTTAGCACGGAACTGGGGTAGGCCTAGTCCCGAACAGTCAGTCCCACGCTAAAAATAGCATGGGACTGTGCTAATTTTAACACAGGACTGGCGTAGGCCCAGTCCCCGGTAGACGAGCAGTCAGCGCCACACTAAAAATAGCATGGGACTATGCTAATTTAGCACGGGACTGGGACAGGCCCAGTCCCCGGTAGACGAACAGTCAGTCCCACGCTAAAAATAGCATGAGGTTGTGATAATTTTAGCACGGGACTGGGACAGGCCGAGTCCCCGGTAGACGATAAGTCAGTCCCATCCTAAAAATAGTGTGGGACTGTGCTAATTTTAGCACGGGACTAGGACAGGCCTGACTTTGGGAGACGAAGAGTCAGTCCCGCGCTTAAACTAACACATGATCCCATTTTAATTATTACTAGGGCCTAGTTATTCATTTACATGACCGTTTGGGGCTGTTCCTTTTCCAACCGGGTTATGCGGTCGCGTTGGTCCAGTCCCAACCGGTCAAACCTAATTATCTCACTATCCCTTGGTCCGTTTTAAGTGTTGTTTGGGCCGGACCTCACTAATTCGCGCCTTGCAATTGCGACGGTCCAGTCCAAAGGGGATGATCAGGTCTTCCGAGGACTGTACCGCCACACCGTCTTTCCCGTGGCTTTGGCCCTCGGGAATTTCAACCGATGCATTAGGGTCTGGTTGACTATGACTGCGAACCGCCCTCGGCGCAGACTTGACACGGCGCGGAGGCTGACCGCGTCGAGTCAGATTCCGTTCACGCGGTGCGTCGGCCTCCGACAGGAACGGACCCTGGTCACAATATTTAGTGACTAGGCAGCAGTCTAGCGAATTTCGTACAAGGCATGGCTCAGGTCAGAGAGACTTTCGACTAGAGGAGAGGAGGGACCTCTTGCAGAAGTATATCTGAAGTGATTCAAGACTGCAAGCAAGGGCGTGGAATCTGTTTTCTGGGTCCTCAGCTTGACAAGTGTACATGTCAGAAACCAGACGATGACTGAAGAGTATAATGTTCTAGAAGCCCTAACTTGTGTCACCTCTGGTGGTGCGTTTCCCTATATGTTTGTCAAATGTATTACTTGTGTAAAACATACAACATAAAGGTCACGAGATGCTTCGCGAAATCCAGTACCACCTGTTGACGCGTCCCGGGTCAGCTCAAACAGCCACGTCAGCCTGTGACGTGGCTAGAGTTAGCGCCCTATTCAATCGTGCGTGCGTTAAGCGACTCCCACTCTGTAGATTGGATATGATCAGTTGAAATTCTTGATGATCGTGTCGTCATCCACCATCCACACTTCGATATCCTTAAGGCTGACTTCGCTGTTCTCCTTTGGTGTTGACCTGCGTCAACACTCCAATGGTCGCACACAGCACTATCGTTGCTGTGACCAAGGAGACAGGTCACGGAATCCAGAACCACCTGTTGACGAGGCCGTCCCGGATCAGCTCAAACAGCCATGTCAGCCTGTGACGTGGCTAGAGCTAGCGCCCTATTCAATCTCGCGTTGATACTTGAATTGCAGAATAACGGCTGTCAGAGAACCTCTTCTCTCGTGTGTGGCTCCCTTACCTTAGCCGGGAAGATATCCTTCCACAGCTTCAGCATTTGACTCCAATACCACGCCACCCTAGGTCCTTCCTCTGTACCAGCTCTGTCGCCCTCCCTTCGGCCCACCTTGGCCCAAGTGCTACACATGATCCAGAACTGGCCCGACATATTCGGTGGTGTTTTGTATTTGGCTGTTTGCCTGATCCTATGTAGCGCCAACGGTGTCCAGGGTAGCTTTTGATGGGAGATTAATTTGACAACCCATTTTATTTGGAGCGCCTTGAGATGCTGGTCCGGATCCAGAATACCCAGGCCTCCCTGTTCTTTCGATCAGGCGTCGTGCTTCCTCGCTACTTTGGAAATGAAGTGTGGTTTGGTTGCATTGGATGTCCAAAGGTATGCTGCCGCTCTTCTTCTCAGTAGAGAGGCTGTCTGTGCTGGTGGGGTCCAGATTGTCCCTGCGTACCATGTTCTGTTCGGTTCGGGTCGGGTCGGGGCGGGGGGGGGGGGGGGCGGGGCGGCCCGGGGCGGCCCGGGGCGGCCCGGGGCGGCCCGGCCCTGCCCTGCCCTGCCCTGCCCTGCCCTGCCCTGCCCTGCCCTGCCCTGCCCTGTTCTGTTCTGTTCTGTTCTGTTCTGTTCTGTTCCTGTTTCTTCCTCTTCTGTTGCGCTGTGAACTGTTTTCTGTTCCGTAATTCCGTTTCATTTTGCCTTTTTCCCCTTTGTTCAAAGCTCAGCAATATCATCAGCTATCCTCCGCCATGTTTACCTTTCCTTTGCAGACATGAGTTCGTCAGTTTTCAGGAAATGCCAGTAGAAGTTGTAGAACAATAATATCTGGTTATGGGCTGGGGACAGTAGGCCATCTTGCAGCCATCAGGGCTGGGATTTGGGCTGAGGCTCATTCTCATTGTCATTTGATTACCTCTTGGTGGGTGTTCCCCAAAAATGTATGGAGCTGCAGCCATAAGACTGGTTCTAGTTTCGTTGTGCTTTCTTGTAATATGACGAGTTAGCATGCTGATACTCTCCCTAACATATAAGATGTCATGAACATTGCTTCAAGCTCAAGATGATCCAAACACCAAACTGTAGATGCCATAGCAAGCTGGTGTCTAAATGGCCGATGAAGAGTCATCAACCACTGCCAGCTGTGACTGGTCTTTGGATAAAGGGGAAAGAAAGAAAAACAATTCAAAGCAAAAGTGGGCATCCAAGTCGAGCACTTGTACTGCTGGGTGGGATTGCAGGATGCTGAGTGCCAACTCCATCCCTTCCTTCCCGTCAGACGTAATTCTGGCATACTGTTGACGATGTGGTTTGGAGGGACGAAACAGAGAGGAAGACAAGGAGGGCGGGGGAAGAGATGGAGTGGGAGAGGAGGAGGGGGTGTGGAGGAGGAGGAGGAGGAGGGAGAAGAGGTGGAAGAGGAGAAGCGGTTAATGGAAAGAGGAGAAGCAAGGGGGAAAGGATGAGGGCTAAGGGGAAGGAGGAAGATGGGGATGGGGAGAGAGAATGGGAAGGGAGGAGTGGAAGG